TTCAGATAATTCTATACCACAAACTAAATCATAAAGCAAGTAGCAAAGAACCGAAGCAAACTGAAGGCCGAAATCCGACTATTTAAATTCGCGTCCGACCCTTAATCACCTCCGCAATTATCCCCGCTAAACCGATAACCCTCTAATAACCTCCCAAAGATCGTACCCTCAGAATCCTCGCGGCTCCATATTGCCAATAGCCCCTCCCCCGGCCAATAACAATAACAAGAAGCCCGCGAAGGGGTTAACCATTCCAGAACAGTGAAAATAACTCGCTAATCTGGCGCAGCCAATTATCCCGGCAGTATCAACTCCCGTCGATGATGCGGCCCGCAAAACCTCCCTCCTCGACAATTTAATATTCAATTACGGCCGCGCCGGTAAGCGATATAGCGGCCGCGAGATCCGCTTTCCGCAGCCGCAGACCTAATCTCGTTACTTTAAACGCTTCCCCGTTCGCCGTTCGTCTTTAAACCCATAAAACTGATTCAACGGCCGGACCAAATTGTTCCTCCATTGTATATTTCCGCGCGATTAGGCTTGCCAAGGGTGCCCGCCCCTCCGAGCGCGGCTGGAAAGCGGGAGCTGGAAGGTGCTAGGTGGGGCTGCGCGAGAGGACATCTTTACGAATGTTGCCAGACGAGACTGAGCTATGACGTAATCCTCGGGAACGGGGGCGGCGAACCGATGGCGGAGGGTGGCGGGATGCTGCACGCGCGTTCGTCTGAGACAACGACCTTTCGTGCGTGAATGGCTTCGGATATGCGTTTCCTATAATACACGTGGCGCAGTGCTGTAGCTGGAATGGCCCCTGGTTCGAGGGCCCGTCGAGGATTCGCGGAAAGGATACGTGAGACGCGCATATTTGCTACGTGTGGGGAAACTCTATGCGACTCGTGCACGGACTGTCTCGGGAATGTCGGAATTCTTTCTGTAGGATCCTGTGGAATTTTCTGCAAGTTTCGAATTGTTTTGGAGTTATTATTGAGATGCAATTGTTCGAAGTATTTCAACCCTTAATGGAGCAATGCCTTATAAATAGCTAGTTTTACTTACTGTGTCAGTAAAATCTATTATTTGTATCACTGTTATTCTTGTAATATTTACAATCAACACGTATACTAGGTCACCTCTACGAATTTATTTCTTGATACCTATGGTATTTCCGCGGTGAGTAAACTTGAAATCCAGCTCCTCAAGGGTTCAATGTTGCGGAGTATAGAGTGGTTTGTAATTGGTAATTGAAGGATCGTACAGTCGTACGTTAAAGATTAATTAGAATGAACGATGAATCGACTGCATTCATAATCGGAAAATTCGAAAACGATGTTCAACGTTTCCATCGCGACGCGCTGTCTTCCAGTTCAGCTACGGTGAAACACGTCGAGCGTAATTCACGCACACGGACGGAATATAGCAGAAAAGACTGCGCCGGGCTCAGCTATAAACCTTCCGAGGAGGAAATAACGTCGGCCTATCTTCCTTTATGGAACCATGTTTCGCACTGTAGGATAAGTCCACTTGTCATCGGCTGATTTTCCAGCCAGACTCGATGGTAACCTTATCCGGTCGCCACCGTCGCGGGCGCGCTGTCTGTGTGAATCTTAAGAGCGCCCCGAGGCGCACACCACCCTCGCGAACAGCTGAAACGTCGAGGCGAACGACATACTTCGATGTGTTTGTCTCGCCGATATCCGTGAACCACTCTCCTTCCGGAATTCATAGTCCGACTTCGGGGCGTGGTTACTATAAAACGGAGGCGGATCGGACACGATGTCACGGGACCCTTTCCGTTCCATTTCGACCGCTTTATCACACTTTAGAATATTATTGCCCGAGCCATTCAAACGCGGAACCCAAAGTTGTTACGATAGTTACGAAGGAGGAATACGGTGTCATATAAAGCTCTTTCTATTCTCGTTAGAAATTTGTACATTTATTAATCTTTCGAAGCAGATCAATCTAATCAAATTTCTCTTTAATCTCCGAGGCAATTATATTACTTTCCGAAGTAATTAAAGTAACTAACTAAACTCTACGATGAATCAAACTGCAACGATCCCCATCAACAAACAAAAAATCCTTTCTCCATCGATCTCATATCAAAACTCCACGAACACCCCTCAAAGCTCTATTGAATCAACGCAATATCCCCGTCCCAGGAAGAAAAGCAACGACCCCTAGATCATTCAATAACCTTTATCGCCAGCCCAAGGGCCCGATGGCAATAAGATGGTCGAAACGGCGCCGGGAAACGCGTCGAGGCGAACAGTTACTCGGCGGCGACCGGCAGCGGAAGTTATAGACTGCGGTCACGTATGAAACAATTAGTCCATTCGAATCCTGGCGATCGTTCGCGCGCGTTACTGGCGTTGTCGGCGCGCGGGGGTGGTTCTCGCCGCGCGTGGCCGTCGGACGAAGTGCCGGGGTTCGCGCGGCCAATACCGGCGCGCGATCTCTCGCGCAATAACGGCTCCCCCTCGCTGTCAGAAACATTGTTCTTCGTTCGCTGCGAAACGCGACGAACCTTCTCGCTGCAGCGTAGCAGTCTGCCGGGGTCGGAGGTTCCGCGGGGGGATCAAAGGAGCTCAATCTTCGAGACTTTAACGTCTCCCGGGCAAGGAAAACGATTCCGCCGACGACTGCCGCCCGCCGAGCCACGCAGGATCGCTCATAATGGCCCCCGGGATCATTGTTGGGAATATTCTCCATAAAGGAGAACAGGATCACGCGACGGGCATATATTCTCCTATGGCGCGCCGCGGCGGGGTGAACGGCGCACGAGGATGAACAGGTTGATGGCACGATCTCTTCGCCGGCCATTGTTCCGATTCCGCTTTGAGTTGTTAAGCGGAAAATGCCGGCTCCCGGATTTGATAGATACCTAGGATACTGTTCGCGGATAATGGCGACTATTTTGGGCATGAACCCCGGAGAGGGAAATCTGCGAAGGACGGTTGTATTTTATAGTGGTCGTTCTTTTTATAGGGTAGCCGGGCTTTGCGGGATGAAGGATGTTGGGTCAGGTCGATCATGTTTTATGGGGAGGGTATTCTTTTTAATACATAGGGACTCGGTGTATTTGTTTCGATAGGACGGAAGGATTTCATCGGGATTTACCGAAGGAATTCTCAGGAGGCTCTTCGAATCGGGAAATCAGACGGATAATACTTTGGACAGTATTTTGTGACAATTTAACCCTTTGAACTCTGTAGGCTCCAATATTGCACCAGTTATAATATCAAATATTTTAACGAAATTATTCGATTTTCCATCCAAATTTTCTACTGAGAAGGAGAGTAAAAGATCGAAGGGATGTTATAGCACTTTTCAGTTTCACTAGAGGTACCATAAAAATTAAGGGTCGATTTTGATCACTTTAGAATTCTTTATAATTAAAACACTACTTCCCGAGTCTGCTTAACCAACATAGTAGCGCCGATCGCAAGCCACAGAGATTCCAGCGAAACACAACCCCGTGCAATATCACCTAAACAAAACCATCGACCGTCTTTAAAGCGGTCTTAACAAAATTCCCCCGTTTATTGCATAATACCAGACGTCTCTCAGTCATTCCCGACGCCGAGCATCATCAAAAATAACCCGAGCGTCCAATATACCGCGGCAGCATAAAACTGTCCACGAGTAACGGCGCGGCTAATAAAATTCGTTCCAAGAATCCAAGAGAGCCCCGGAGGGCAGCGCGCGGTATTAAACCGTGTTCGCGGGACCGTGGCCTCAAAGGAACGTCCGGCGGAATAAAATTCCCGAATTAACCGCAGTCTTTTCGCCGGCTGGTAAGCAGCCCCTTTTCCACGGTGGCTGACCTAAACACAGTCCGCCCCGCGCGTGGCGGACGGGGGGAAGGAACAGAGGGGCTCCGTGTCGCGGGATCGTAATAACATGTCGTTACATACGGAACGAATTCCCGGGCTCAAAAGGGCAAGTGTGTAATCTCGCGACCTGCCCTCGGAGGCGAGAGGATCAAAGGATCCCGCCGCGGCGCGCGCTCCTCGAGGATGCCGGCCGCGGATCGGGAAAACGAAAAAACCGGGGGAACGGAGCCAAAAGCGAAATGGGACCGCGACGAACGGACGGGAGAAAGGGTTGGCGATCCTCTATATCGGCGCCGGTGACGGAGGACCCGGCTTAAATGACTGAAACTCTCTTTTAACTTTCCAATTAATATTCCGGCCGGGTCGAGGTCGTGTTCCGTCGCGCGGAATTCAACCGCGCTTCGGTTTGCCGCGCATAAATCTTCCCTCCACTTTTAATTGCGTCCGACCGGGCCGCTCCGTTTATTTAAATAATAATTCGGAAGCCGGCGGAGGCGATTTATTCCCGGCCCTCCGTCGACGCCGCGCGGCCGAGCGACGCCTCTCGCCGGCCTGAGCTCGTTACCGGACGTCTACCCTCCCGTGGATCGTTCTTATGAACTATTCAGCTTTGATTTTCCGGCCCGGCCGCGGAACGCGCTCGGAGAATTTGCGATCGCTGTGGTCATCGAGGACCGGAGCGCGGTACCGTGGATTAGCTTGTTCCGCGAATTGTTCGAATGATTTTCGGGGATTAGGAACGGAATGCGAGTTTCACCGTTCGCGGCGGGCGTCGACGTTTTGCCGACGTCGAACTTTCGCGTTTGGAATACTGTGCAACGAACGGATGATTCTAATACTCGAGTTGCATGAAATCTGTATTTCGATGTGTAATTTGGCGGATCTGGGAGGTTTTGTAGACTTTAAGGAATCTTCGTCCGCAAAGGGTTAAAGGTTCAGCCTGGCGAGATCTGAGCTTGTCTGTGCATTTGAAATGTCGGTAGATATGTAGACTGTGAATTGTAGTTTTCTATGAATTTTGGAGTGTTCGAGAAGGAATATGAATGTGGTAAAAGAGTTAAGTGTGTAATTAACGAATAAGAACGATCCACTGATCCACCCCATTGCCCCGAGTTCCGCGAGAAACGCTCGGAACGAGCTGCAAAAATCGGCGCGGGTACTCACGATATTCATCTCCTGCTCCTGTATCTGCTTGTAGACCTCGACGATCCTCATCAGCGCGTACCCTGCAACATAAAGCGAATTTCGATCGTTTTGAAGCATCGCTTGGCCGTGCGCGCGGCAGGGATTCACGTCGAACCCCGCCGAGCTCTCGCGGTTGAAACTTTCGTCCTGAATTATTCAGACGTGGCTGGGTGTCGTCGATACTTTAATCCGCGCTGCCTACGGCCAGAGGGAGGCGGCCGGGAGCACGAGGGACCGAGAGGACGGTCGGAGAGGGCGCAGGACGGTGAGAAACCGAGGCGACCGCAGGAGTTGGTAGCGGCGCGTTCCGGCGGTTGCGGCTGATTTTCGAGTGACTTTCCACGAAAAGCTCCCGAAAGCCTACGAAAGCGGGCGACACGGGATCCCGGGGAGAGCGGGGGACGACGGGGGAAAAAGAAGGGAGCTCGCGGAAACCACGATCGCGAAGGTTCGGGCAAAGTCGCGGGGGATAGAGAGAGTTCGACGAAAGTTTCGCGCTCCTGGCCGGTCTCGCGGAAACTTTTCTGCCGTTTCCTGCTCGCTTCTTTCCGCGATACTTCTGCCCGACCGAGGACCGACCCTCCTCTGCCGTCCCCGCTCGCCTGCAGGAACATTCCGACGCCATGTTTGCAGCCCCGCGCGTTCCCTATGTATGCGATCCGGACGCGATTAAGACTCTCGTGGGGTGGGCGAGAATAATTTCGGAGGCAATTTCGAATGAGAGAGGGCGGCGGCTGCGGCGCGGGACACGGAGTGAGTTAAACACTCGGCGAGGAAAGCGCTCGCGGAAAGACAATGTCGCCGCGCTTCTGATGGTGTTCGGCTGAAGGGTTTTAGCGAGTCTCGAGGGTGAGTGATTGTATTTAGCGTTGATGATGGTAGCTTCTTTGGCTGGGAGATTTTACTTTATTGTTCGCGTGTTTCTAGTGTTTGATGTGTCTTTGTGATTTCGTTTGCTTTCGTGATTGGGTGGAATTTATTATCTGGTGATTTTTCGTGATAACTGAAATTGGTTAACCTGCGTTGGAATTTAGAAAGGAATTATTAAGAAATTTGCTTTCACTTATTTTATGCGGCATGTACAGTAATTTTGTTTATAACTAACTTTGTATAGTGATACGTTTCAAAAGGAACTAGTGTAATACGACTAGACTGGATGTTTATAAAATGTCTGGCAATTTTGGAAGAAAAATATCTCGAGGCACGTCTTTCCAGTGCAAGAGGTTAGAATCGTGTAGAATTAGTAAGAATATTAGGATAAAGGACTGACAAGATATAAAGTTTGAAAATGATTATACAGAGATTAAGATTAAACAAATTTTCCGCGAATCGCACTTTTATCTACGCGCCGCGTAACCTATGCATCATCGTCGACGATTAATTCAATCATTGATAACCGGCTAGCCATGAAACCGTGCTCAGCAATGATAACTTGTCTCGATAGACTAGATACTCGGAGAGTCATTAATCACGGCTTGCCCGGCGCGCACAGTCCCTATGACAAATTCCCATGTCGATATGCTAACACCGTGCTTCCGTGATACACACGTCGCGACGGAACGAGCGTAACAACCGGGGGAAAAACAGCGCCACGCCGAGCACAGCGCGGAGAAAAGGGAAAAAGCGAAAGTGAAGTGGAACACCCTTAACTTCGATCGACTAATTAAAGTTTTAATTAAGTTAGCTGCACGCCAATCAAGCCTAAGTTTAAATTACTTTATTAACGGTATCCGTGATCAAATCGAACAATCTGATGCTTCCGATAGAAAACATGTTCTATCAATATATTCCATTCAAAATGGTTTTCTAATTTTTCTCATTCATTTCAACCATCAACGAACCAGAAGTACTTCAAGCTTACCATTAAAAGATACCTTAACAGACAAGCGGAAAGAAATTCACAGAAATGATCTAGATACTTATTAATTGCAGATATTACAAGAACACCAGTAACAAAACTAATAAAATCATTTCTACCATATACTCAGCATTGGACTTATCTTCCATCAAAATCAAACCTCGAACCTCGTCAAGAAATCTCAAGGAATTCAGGAGGATTCAAGCATTCGGAAGATCAACATCCCCCGAATTTTCGTGTCTTTCCCAGAGTTCTCGCGGGAAGTTGAGGAAATTCCAGGGGAAATGAGAAAAAGCGCGCGTGCGCGGTGGATAAGTTGCAAACGAAGCCGCCTCCGGTCCTTTCATTTCGTTCAAATGTTTAATTATCTCGCGTAACATTAAATTTCCGCGGCTCGCTCGCGGCCGGGCGGCGAGGACGCTAATGTCGGCCCGCCGGAATCTTTTTGCAACTCTTTATCCCCGTGTCTGTGCATCAACGTCGGCTCTAATGCACGGCCAAGATACATTCCCGTTCATTCCGTATTTTTTCCTCTTTCCGGGCGGCTTCCGGTGCATAAATGCTTCAGCGTGACTCGACTGAATATCTACGGCCTGGTTAACATTTCAGACACTGCGACCCGGCTGATACGCTCGTTTTATTTTCCGCGAGGATTAAATATAACGGGCGCGCCGTGAAATCGCTGTTTCGGTTTTCTATGAGCTCGCCGACGAACAGCGTCGCATCGATCAGGCTGCGTTATGGGATATTTTTCTAATGAACGTCCGCTTGATGCTTTACGATGCGATGCGCGTTCGTTGCGTGGCTCGGGGCACCTTTATAACGGGGCTGCTTGATAAAAGCAGCGATGGGAATGATGCTTTTATTTTTTAATGCTCGTATTTACGTCGAACAATGGTATTTAATATTAATAGCAGCATTAAATAGGTTTAATGGCGACGGTAAATAGGGAGCTGGTAATCTCAGTGGGATAAAAAAGTTTATATTTGTAGCGTACTTTTTTCGATACGTCAGTTTGTAGGGTCACTATGAATGCAGCTTAGAATCTATTTAGAATGGTTATAACCCTTATATAACAGTGATAAAGTTTCACAGCATAAAGGATTTCATTCGACGCGTTCATTACTAAACAAGCAGCCATAAAGATTCGAAAGATGTAACACTAAACAGTGGAATGTTTGTTGAAACTGTCAGCAGTGATAATGTTGTCATAATAGTTTAGTACTGCCTCGTACATCGTAGACGTAAGAATGACGCCACTAATGCGTTTTCCTTTGATGGTAGCTTTTAAGGGTTAAATTAATAATTAGTGTATGTTAATGCGCTTGCAGCACACTCGGCTATAGAAGAGGACGCCGCGAGCGCATAATTTGTCCTCTTAATTTCTGGTATTACTTTGAAAATTCATTTGAGAATCAGAAGCTGTATCAGCGAGCACAGTTTAATTAGGCGTTAACGATCTTAAACGATCCTCTATGAAAATACCATACGACGAATGTAATGGAATAATAATAAAAGCCATTATCATCTGACTTCCGTCGTATTCGTCTCAGCAATCCCCGCGCAGAGAACCGTTGCCAGCCCTTAAAGCAAGACTTGGCTCGTAAGTACCCGGCGCAGGCATCGCCGAAATCACCTGTAGCGAGCGTAGAATTCACGAGCGGCTCGTACAGGGCTAAACCGTCCCCGCGGCGGAGCGGGCGCCTCGTCGCCGGCAGCAAACCGCCAGACGCAGGCTGCCGGGATTACACGCGGCCCGCAAAGCCGCAAGATCTTTGTGCTTCCGTATTAACATACACGTCGACTCGGCGACAGCTACTTACCATTCCCGGTTTCGTCAGGCCGTCACTGAATTACGCGTCGCGAATTAACCCTCGGAAGGCAGGCGCCAGCGGAATCAAGGAAGGAAGCGGGTAGCGAAGTTACATGGTTAGAGGGTCGGGAACCGAGTCTCGTAGCTTCTGGGCGAGAAGAAAAGCTAAAATACAACTCGAGTCTCAGGAGAACCAGATCTAGTTCGCGAAGACGTGTTCTTAGTGATTTTCATCTAATAACTGAAGAATCTTAAAGACTCGACTGCCGGGTATCCTCTAAAATGATTGTAGCTAGCGATCCTACACACGATAGCTTACAAATCTCGCAAAGGTTAGGCTAAAACGGAAATGTCAAATGAACTGAGTAAACTCAAGTACTGAAGAATAATTCGAGTTTTCGAACTTCGAATTGCAGAGGTTTCTACGAGCGTAAACGAATGAAGAAGCTTCGCGATGTATAGGGGATTCCGGGTTATGGAGGTTCAAGCTAGGTTCGTATCAGTTGAACGTTGCGGAAAGGTGAGCCTAAATCGAGGGAACGAGAAAGAAGGGGGCAAAAGGGTAAGCGTCGGGGAGGCGGCAGACAAAGAGAGAGGCCAGGAGCTATCTAAGCGTTCCAAGCGTCGTATCTCAGCTATACAATATCGTAATCCCTCGCCATACGTAAAGCTCCGCATGGCGAATCTCGTTTACATGCGCATCTGCATATATATTTCACCTGGCCCTGTGTGTGCGCACCCCGCACCGGCGCCCGTTCCTGCGCGTAGATTTGTGGGGAAAGGGGCTGAACCGGGGGAGCGGATTGCAGGCTAACGGCGTGTACCGTGCCGATGGACCCCGGTATGCTCGGTATGCTGATTCCTTTAAGGGGATGGATTCCTGTCGCTGTGCCTCGCGAATTATGCTGCCTGACGGATGACGATTCTTCGGCGATGAAGCTGACGTAAGATGTTAGAGCGTGTTGGCGAGATTTTTGTCGAGGGATCGGGATCAATGCGAGACAGGCATGTCTCCTGGAAGTTTCGATGGGTTTGGAATTGACGTGTTTTGAAGTGCTTGATCAAGGCATTTTGGTGCTTAGAAAACTTGCGATGATTAATGTTCATGTGTCAGATTCTGCGATTGATACAGTTGTTCTCCTATTCTTGCTTTACTCTATTCTATTTAGCCATTCCTTTTCTTTATCAGTTACTATTATCAATTGAAACATATCCATCCTGAATTTTCCATTTCTACTTTTCTAGCTTTCTTATCCACATCCTCCTCATCCTCACACCATCCCCATCAATCTGAAATCCCCAGACTATCGTCCTCGCAAGCACTCCGAGAAGCCTTTCTCGAAGACCCCGTCGAAAATCCCCGGAACAGC